GTGCAATGATCATGCTGTTTAATCAGCTTCTTGATATGCCACAGCTGTCAGGTGGATGGATTATCTTGGCAAAGGAGAAATGCTGACTAACAGGGATGTAAACAAATTTGTGAACAAAATCTGAGAGAAATAAGCTTTTTGTGCGTATGAAACATTTCTGGGATCTTTTATTTCAGCACATGAAACATGGGACCAACACTTTACATGTTGCGTTTATATTTTTATTCAGTGTTGATTCAATGGTTGTAAAGACGGGAGAGGTGTGTCCGTAATAAAGAGATGCTCTGCTGTTTTGACACCACACTCCACAAAGCAAGTCCTGCAGGCTCTAGTTTAATCTTATCTTGATTATTGTCCAGTCATATGGTCAAGAGCTGCAAAGAAAGACCTAGTTAAGCTGCAGTTTGCCCAGAACAGAGTGGCATGTCTTGCTCTTCATTTGTAATCAGAGGGCTAATATTAATACTATGCATGCCAGTCTCTCTTGGCTAAGAGTTGAGGAAAGACTGACTGCGTCACTTCTTGTTTTGATAAGAAAGTGTTTGAAATTCCAAATTCTTTGCATGGTCAATTTACACACACACTTACCCCACCAGACATGCCACCAGGGGTCTTTTCACAGTCTCCAGGTCAAGAACAAATTCAAGGAATTATACAGAGCCATGAGTGCATGGAACTCCTTCCATCTTATATAGTGCAAGTGAACAGCAAACCTGGTTTAAAAAAAAAACTAATAAAGCAACACCTCACAGCACAATGCCTCTCCCCCATGTGACCTATTTGTTGTGTGTATGTACTGACGTATGTGTAACTGATATATGCACACACAGTACATGTTAATGTTTTTTAATGTACAGTACCAGTCAAATGTTTGGACACACCTACTCATTCCAGGGTTTGTCTTTATTTTTACTATTTTCTACATTGTACAATAATAGTGAAGACATCAAAACTATGAAATAACACATATGGAATCATGTAGTAACCCATTTTTTTTTAAAGCAAATCGAAATATATTTGAGATTCTTCAAAGTAGCCACCCTTTGCGTTGATGAAAGCTTTGCACACTCTTGGCTTTCTCTCAACCAGCTTCATGAGGTAGTCACTTGGAATGCATTTTATTTAACCGGTGTGCCTTGTTAAAAGTTAGTTTGTGGAATTTCTTTAAATAATGCATTTGAGCCAATCAGTTGTGTTGTGACAAGGTAGGGTTGGTATACAGAAGATAGCCCTATTTGGTGAACCAAGTCCATATTATGGCAAGAACAGCTCAAATAAGCAAAGAGAAATGACAGTCCATCATTACTAAAAGACATGAAGGTCAGTCAATCCTGAAAATTTCAAGAACTTTTAAAGATTCTTCAAGTGCAGTCGCAAAAACCATCAAGCACTATGATGAAACTGGCTCTCATGAGGACCGCCACAGAAAAGGAAGAGCCAGAGTTACCTCTGCTGCGTGAATAACTTCATTAGAGTTAACTGCACCTCAGATTGCAGGCCAAATAAATGCTTCAAAGAGTTCAAGTAACAGACACATCTCAACATCAACTGTTCAGAGGAGACTGCGTGAATCAGGCCTTCATGGTCGAATTGCTGCAAAGAAACCACGACTAAAGGACACCAATAAGAAGAAGAGACTTGCTTGGGCCAAGAAACACGAGCAATGGACATTAGACCGGTGGAAATCTGTCCTTTGGTCTGATGAGTTCAAATTTGAGATTTTTGGTTCCAACTGCTGTGTCTTTGTGAGACGAAGAGTAGGGTGAACGGATGATCTCCTGCATGTGTAGTTCCCACCATGAAGCATGGAGGAGGAGGTGTGTTGGTGTAGGGGTGCTTTGCTGGTGACACTGTCTGTGATCTATTTAGAATTCAAGACACACTTAAACAGCACGGCTACCACAGCATTCTTTAGCGATACGCCATCCCATCTGGTTTGCGCTTAGTCCCACTATCATTTGTTTTTCAACAGGACAATGACCCAACACACCTCCAGGTTGTGTAAGGGTACTTCAAGACTGTTGGAAAAGCATTCAAGGTGAAGCTGGTTGAGAGAATGCCAAGAGTGTGCAATGCTGTCATCAAGGCAAAGGGTGGCTATTTGAAGAATCTCAAATATAAAATACATTTTGATTTGTTAAACACTTTTTTTGGTTACGACATGATTTCCAAATGTGTTTTTTCATAGTTTTGATGTCTTCACTATTATTCTACAATGTAGAAAATAGTAAAAATAAAGAAAAACCCTTGAATGAGTAGGTGTGTCCAAACTTTTGACTGGTACTGTCTGTCAATTGTAAACTCTTTTGTCTGTTATATATTTTTCGTCATGTGTCGGACCCCAGTAAGACTAGCTGTTGCCGTAGGCTTCTGCTAATGGGGATCCTAATAAATCAAAATCAAAAGATCAGCTCTGAAAAATATCTGATATGAAAAGATCTAATGGGATTGGTCGCAGAAAAAAATATCAGAATTGGGCTGCCTGTGTAAACGCAGCCTTAGCTGCCTTACATAACAAGGGAGTGAGTTTGTAGCCCTATATGGTTTTTTGTCACATAAGAAGAAGCCCAAGCTTAGAATTTCAAGCTGGTACATGATTTAGTCTTACAGCTGTTTTAATGAGATAAAACATTCTAGTTGGCGCCTAGTGATATAGTCCATTTTGCATGAGATCTTTGGGGGAACATGTGCCTTCTCAAGAGTGAAAAACGTACATTATCCACTGAGCAGTCTTTGAGACACTTACATTGCTGTTAATGCCATCTGGTGGACATTAGTGATATCTTGCTGATGGATCACCACATTGTTGTCCTCTTCCATAGAAAAAGAGGCCTACACTGTCAAACAGAAAAAGGCCTTCATCACCAGAGACACATTTATATTTTTATTAGTACAGGCAGGCGTATAACACATCTACACACTTCAGTTTGTTGGTGTAGTTAATGTACTGCTCCTCTGCAGGCAAGAGTTCTTATATTCATTATTTTGGCAGTTTCCATATTGTAGTATTTGTGGGCACTGAATCTGATTTTATCTTTGGCTCACACACTGTTGCAAACTCTCGTACTGAAGAGGAATCCCTCTCATCATTGTTCAGCAATGTGCTGCACGCTTCCTGGCAGTTGAGGCTGATGTCATTTATACAGGGCCTTGCAAAAGTATTCATCCCCCTTGGCGTTTTCCCTATTTTGTTTCATTACAACCTGTCATTTAAATTGATTTTTATTTGGATTTCATGTTATGGACCTAGACAAAGTAGTCCAAATTGGCGAAGTGAAATTAAAAAAATAACTTGTTTAAAAAAAAAAAAAAATGCATAACGGAAAAGTGGTGCATGCATATGTATTCACCCCCTTTGCTATGAAGCCCCTAAATAAGATATGGTGCAACCAATTACCTTCAGAAGTCACATAATTATTTAAATAAAGTCTACCTGTGTGCAATCTAAGTGTCACATGATCTCAGTGTGTGTGTGTGTGTGTGTGTGTGTGTGTGTGTGTATATATATATATATATATATATATATATATATATACACACAACACCAATAAGCAAGGGGCACCACCAAGCAAGTGGCACCATGAAGACCAAGGAGCTCTCCAAACAGGTCAGGGACAAAGTTGTGGAGAAGTACAGATCAAGGTTTGGTTATAAAAAAATATCAGAAAATTTGAACATCCCACAGAGCACCATTTTAAATCCATTATTAAAAAATGTAAAGAATATGGCACCACAACAAACCTGCCAAGAGAGGGTCGCCCACCAAAACTCACGGACCAGGCAAGGAGGGCATTAATTAGAGAGGCAACAGAGACCAAAGATAACCCTGAAGGAGCTGCAAAGCTCCACAGCGGAGATTGGAGTATCTTTCCATAGGACCACTTTAAGCCGTACACTCCACAGAGCTGGGCCTTACGGAAGAGTGGCCAGAAAAAAGCCATTGCTTAAAGAAAAAATAAGCAAGCACATTGGTGTTCGCCAAAAGGCATGTGGGAGACTCCCCAAACATATGGAAGGTACTCTGGTCAGATGAGACTAAAATTGAGCTTTTTGGCCATCAAGGAAAACGCTATGTCTGGCCCAAACCCAACACCTCTCATCACCCCGAGAACACTATCCCCACAGTGAAGCATTGTGGTGGCAGCATCATGCTGTTGGGGATGTTTTTCATCGGGATGGACTGGGAAACTGGTCAGAATTGAAGGAATGATGGATTGCGCTAAATACAGGGAAATTATTGGGGGAAACCTGTTTCAGTCTTCCAGAGATTTGAGACTGGGACGGAGGCTCACCTTCCAGCAGGACAATGACCCTAAGCATACTGCTAAAGTAACACTCGAATGGTTTAAGGGGAAACATTTAAATGTCTTCGAATGGCCTAGTCAAAGCCCAGACCTCAATCCAATTGAGAATATGTGGTATGACTTAAAGATTGCTGTACACCAGCGGAACCCATCCAACTTGAAGGAGCTGGAGCAGTTTTGGCCTTGAAGAATGGGCAAAAATCCCAGTGGCTAGATGTGCCAAGCTTATAGAGACATACCCCAAGAGACTTGCAGCTGTAATTGCTGCAAAAGTTGGCTCTACAAAGTATTGACTTTGGGGAGGTTGAATAGTTATGCACGCTCAAGTGTTCTGTTATTTTTTAAATGTATTTTCTTCACCCCCAAAAAATATTTTGCATCTTCAAAGTGGTAGGCATGTTGTGTAAATCAAATGATACAAACCCACAACAAATCCATTTTAATTCCAGGTTGTAAGGCAACAAAATAGGAAAAATGCCAATGGGGGTGAATACTATCGCAAGCCACTGTAGAGCCCGGTTAGACACATTTCTTGAGAAATCAAATAGTAAAACATTCAATAATTTTTGGATATTGATTCTAGGTACTGCCTTGCTTTCAGGTTCTCGTTTACAATATAGTATACTTTGCTAATTTTTCCTCCCTCTTTCCCCCATATAGATCTGAGAGTCCCTCTCCCCCCACTCCGGATGCACCATGAGCTGGAGTTTCCTGACGCGTCTCCTGGACGAGATATCCAACCACTCTACCTTTGTGGGCAAGATCTGGCTCACGCTGCTCATCGTCTTCCGCATTGTGTTGACTGCTGTGGGAGGCGAGTCCATCTACTACGATGAACAGAGCAAGTTTGTGTGCAATACGCACCAACCCGGTTGCGAGAATGTGTGCTACGACGCCTTTGCACCGCTCTCGCACATCCGCTTCTGGGTCTTCCAGGTGATCATGATCACCACCCCCACCATCATGTACCTGGGCTTCGCCATGCACAAAATCGCCCGCATGGACGACGATGAGTACAGGCCCCGCGGGAAGAGTATGCCCATGGTGAGCCTAGGGACCAACCGGAACTACGAGGAGGCGGAGGACAATGGCGAGGAGGACCCCATGATCTCGGAGGAGATCGAGTTGGAGAAGAAGGAGAAGCCTAGCAAGAAGCATGACGGGCGCCGGCGCATCAAGCGCGACGGCCTCATGAAGGTGTACGTGTTCCAGCTGCTGTCGCGTGCTGCTTTCGAGGTCTCCTTTCTGTTCGGCCAGTACATCCTCTACGGCCTGGAGGTGTCTCCCTCGTACATGTGCACACGCTCACCCTGCCCACACACAGTGGACTGCTTCGTGTCGCGTCCCACGGAGAAAACCATCTTCCTGCTCATCATGTATGCGGTGAGTGCCCTCTGTCTGCTCTTCACCGTGCTGGAGATCCTCCACCTGGGTTATAGCGGCATACGGGACTGTTACTGCCGCCCTCGTCCTCGCCCCCCAACCCCCCACCAACTGGCCAGTCAGCGTCCCTCACTAAGTGGCCGCCAGGTACCCACAGCTCCTCCGGGCTACAACACAGCGCTGAAGAAGGACCCCAAGGGCATGCGATTGGATTACAACCTGGGCGACTCGGGCCGTGAGTCGTTTGGGGACGAGGCATCTCAGCGGGAGCTGGAGAGGCTAAGAAGGCATCTGAAGCTGGCCCAGCAGCACCTGGACCTGGCCTACCAGAATGAGGACAACAGCAGCACGTCGCGGAGCAACAGCCCAGAGTCCAACGGGACGGCCGTGGAGCAGAACCGCCTCAACTTTGCCCAGGAGAAGCAAAGCAGCACCTGCGAGAAAGGTGAGTAGCTAGGCTCTGCCAATGCGTCAAAGTAAATACATGTCTTCAGTAGTAATTTGCGTGGTATATCTATGTTTTAATTCTATAGCAGATGGAATCAATGAATGGATGTTGTGTATAGATTCAATTTATTGTCTACTAAAACTGACGTCATTTTTCTTCTTCCATTTTGCTTTCAGGTTTACGAGCATAACTTCATCATTGGCCCACCTGGCCCTCTCAGGATAGATTCTTGCATCTGGGACAGTGGGGGTACCATGGAGCATTGTGTGGGGACAGGTGTGTGTATGTGACTCGAGGAGGATGAATCCATCTATCTTTCAGTGTTGAGGCCAGTGAACGTTCAAGGGAAACATGCCAAACTGAACGAGCAGCATCTTCCTACCCAGCTATTCTTGAGCACATCTGAAGATCCAAAGTGTCCACAAACTGTTTTCAGAACATTCCTATTCGTCTCTCAGGGTAGCAGTGCTCTTTTGTTGACCATTTCCTTTTGTTTGTAGTTTTTCCGTCTTTGCTGGAGTTTAGAGAGGTCAATCTCATGTTTGCCTTAAACCTAACACTGGAGTTTACATTTCAGCCATTCCAAGAAGTTATGGGCAAGCCAAGTGTGTCGCAAAACCATGTCAAAGTTGATGTTTGTGTTTTGTGAGGAATAGGGAACCACGGTGAGTCAGTGTTTGGAGATGTGAACTGGTATGGTAAAAGTTGGAGGTATTAGAAGTGATAATTGTCCATGTGCAACAGCTTACAATGAGGAAATGGTTAACTATTTTGGGTCAACCACCAGAAACAACAGTTACATTTGAGTTGTAGCACAGCAATATGTAGTTTGCAGAAAGAGTACCTACTTTGATCATGAATCCCCCCTCCCATAAATATGACTGTTACCAAATCTGGGTACTGGAAGCCTATTTTGGCACCTTTATCCAGAGGATAAAAAACCTGGGTAATGCTTGAATTCATGTAAATTGTTATATTGTCTGGTAATGTTAAACATGCTTTTGATACTGATTTCTTCCATTTTGTTAGTTTTATATGGAAAGTGTTTGGACGACATTGACACTTTGAAAGTGAAAGATGAAGCCTTTAAGGTCACGATGGCCAAATGGTTAAGTGTAACAACTATGAAGTTCACTGTCTTTTCGGATGTCTACATTTACTGAGGGGCTCAACAGATTGGGAGTTATTTTACACATTGAGGACCATCCGCGATTTGTGGGTTACTCATCTATGCCATACACCAGTTGAACTCCGGGTCGTGTTCAGTAGAGCACAACGTAGCAATGTTTTGAAACTGAAAATGTAATTCTGCCTTCATATACATTTTACATTTTAGTCATTTAGCAGACGCTCTTATCCAGAGCGACTTACAGTTAGTGAGTGCATACATTTTCATACTTACAGGATAAATTCCTGTAATTCCTCTTCAGTAGCCTATGTCTCCCGTCCCGATTTGTGCCTACTGAACATGACCCAGAGAGACCCAAGATTTTTTTGGTAAAGAAAATACACTACAACGAAGCATTTAATCTGTCGATCAGCATTTTCAGAAAGCAACTCAAGTACCCCACAATTCAGTGTTATTTTTCTATATTGTTTTGTTCAGTGTGTTTTCTCCTGAAATTGGGACATGTAGATTTGTGGCTTTGTGTTACTTCTCTATGCAATTCAAAATCTATGCTCGGTTCAGTGTTCATTATTGAGGCATTGATGCAAGTCAAATTCATAAGCCTTCAAGCCATTAATAATGACCACCATGCTGTAGTCTCAGTGACGGTTGTAAATGTTATCATTGTTATCTTTTTATGGTTGAAACGACCCATTGCCTTGAATGTGATCTTATGATGCCATCAGTGCACACTCATTATATCAGCAGTGCCATTAAGTGTCAACTGTCATCTCAAACAATTTGTTTAAATACTTTTGTATGAATAGTATTTTTCTGCTCAATTTCTTAAATAAACATTTTCTAATGAATTCATGTCTCCCTTCGGTATCTGTAAATTGTATGTAATGCAGCATTTTGGCTGGTGTATATAATGTAGCCTATGTAATAGGGGACACTTCTGTCTGCAAAACAAACACTGAAATGTGCAAACAACATACCTTGGCACTCACAGTAATGATCTGATCATATCGATGCAATTCCTAGCTGCAGTGTTCCAAACATGTTTCGGGCCATCATGATTTTTGGGATGTTGGCAAATGACGCCCTATGAAGGTTTGATCCAGATTGTCTGAGCTTCCACTATATTGTATTCATCTGTCAAGTACTGTCCAAATAGTGCAGATGAAGAGGTGGAAACAAAAATAACAGCATTTTTTGCAATTGAGACAAAGCCCCAGAAATAAATGATCAGACTCTTTCAGCAAGTCCACAAGTTCTAGACCATTATAAACACAACTGCAATATAACTCTGCCGTGCGTTATCTAGCATGATTACATAAACAATACAAGAGTTCAATCCGGTAAACAGCATTGCTATAAAAGGCTTACTGTGCAGTACACCTTCCACCTCCAAGATGAAGAACCTGGTGCAGGTTCTCTCTCTGTACCTGATGTGCCTCTATGGCTGTCTGTGTCAGGAAGAAGACCCACAGGACTTTATGCTACTAGCAGGCCCTCTCACCAACTACTTGAGAACGGACTTGAGCACCAAACCCATTGATGCCTTTGACTGCAGTCATCCCCTTCCCTTGGGCTCCAGACCCTACTTTCAGTATCTCCAGAGTCAGGGAGTAACTCACTTCAAAGTTCCCCTGTCCTGGGCTCAACTTTTGCCCACAGGTGACCCCAGCCAGCCCAGTCAGCCCGTATTGTCCTGCTACCGGACCCTCTTGGAACAGCTAGTGGAAGTAGGCCTCAAACCCCTTGTGGTCTTGCATCGCTCTGCTTTACCAGAGGCCCTTAGATCCAGATATGGGAGCTGGGAAAGTGCAGAGCTGCCAGAGGTATTTCAGCAATATGCTGAATTTGTTTTTCTGGCGTATGGAGAACTGGCACACTCCTGGGTGACGCTGAGCCACCTTGAAGAGCTGAAGGATGAGGTGCAGATGCAGCTAAAACATGCCCTCTATGCCCACGCCAACGTGTACCACCTCTACCATTACCTGTTTCCTGGCCAAGGTAAAATCTTAATTAGCATGTGGTAGAAGATGTACAGTTGAAGTCAGAAGTTTACATACACCTTAGCCAAATACATTTCAACTCAGTTTTTCACAATTCTTGATATTTAATCCTAGTAAAAATTCCCTGTCTTAGGTCAGTTAGGATCACCACTTTATTTTAAGAATGTGAAATAATAGTAGAGAGTGATTTATTTCAGCTTTTATTTCTTTCATCACATTCCCAGTGGGTCAGAAGTTTACATAGTATTTGGTAGCATTGCCTTTAAATTGTTTAACTTGGGTCAAACGTTTCAGCTAGCCTTCCACAAGCTTCCCACAATAAGTTGGGTGAATTTTGGCCCATACCTCCTGACAGAGCTGGTGTAACTGAGTCAGGTTTGTAAGCCTCCTTGCTCGCACACTTTTTCAGTTCTGCCCACACATTTTCTATAGGATTGAGGTCAGGGCTTTGTGATGGCCACTCCAATACCTTGACTTTGTTGTCCTTAAGCCATTTTGGCACAACTTTGGAAGTATGCTTGTGGTCATTGTCCATTTGGAAGACCCATTTGCGACCAAGCTTTAACTTCCTGACTGATGTCTTGAGATGTTGCTTCAATATATCCACATAATTGTCCTTCCTCATGATGCCATCTAATTTGTGAAGTGCACCAGTCCCTCCTGCAGCAAAGCACCCCCACAGCATGATGCTAACACATTTTAGTCATTTAGCAGACGCTCTTATCCAGAGCGACATACAGTTAGTGAGTGCATACATATTATTAAATGTTTTTCATCTGGGAATCGAACCCACAACCCTGGCGTTGCAAGTGCCATGCTCTACCAACTGAGCTACACGGGGCCCCGTGCTTCACGGTTGGGATGGTGTTCTTCGGCTTGCAAGCACCCCCTTTTTCCTTCAAACATAACAATGGTCGTTATGGCCAAACAGTTATATTTTTGTTTCATCAGACCAGAGGACATTTCTCCAAAAAGTACGATCTTTGTCCCCATGTGCAGTTGCAAACCGTAGTCTGGCTTTTTTATGGCAGTTTTGGAGCAGTGGCTTCTTCCTTGCTGAGCGGCCTTTCAGGTTATGACGAGATAGGACTTGTTTTACTGTCGATATAGATACTTTTGTACCTGTTTCCTCCAGCATCTTCACAAGGTCCTTTGCTGTTGTTCTGGGATTGATTTGCACTTTTCGCACCAAAGTATGTTCATCTCTAGGAGACAGAACGCGTCTCCTTCCTCAACGGTATGGCGGCTGCGTGGTCCCATGGTGTTTATACTTGCGTACTATTGTTTGTACAGATGAACGTGGTACCTTCAGGCGTTTGGAAATTGCTCCCAAGGATGAACCAGACTTGTGGAGGTCTACAATATTTTAAAATAATAATAATAATATGCCACTTAGCAGACGCTTTTATCCAAAGCGACTTACAGTCATGCATGCATACATTTTTGTGTATGGGTGGTCCCGGGGATCGAACTTACTACCCTGGCTTTACAAGCGCCGTGCTCTACCTGAGGTCTTGGCTGATTTATTTTGATTTTCCCATGATTTCAAGCAAAGAGGCACTGAGTTTGAAGGTAGGCCTTAAAATAACTCAACAGGTACACCTCCAATTGACTCAAATGTTGTCAATTAGCCTATCAGAAGCTTCTAAAGCCATGACATCATTTTCTGGAATTTTCCAAGCTGTTTAAAGACACAGTCAACTTCTGACCCACTGGAATTGTGATACAGTGAATTATAAGTGAAATAATCTGTCTGTAAACAATTGTTGGAAAAATTACTTGTGTCATGCACAAAATAGATGTCCTAACCGACTTGCCAAAACTATAGTTTGGTAACAAGAAATGTGTGGAGTGGTTGAAAAACGAGTTTGAATGACTCCAACCTAAGTGTATGTAAACTTCCGACTTCAACTGTACATAATTCACAGGGTTTTGGAAAACAGTTCACAGATGTAACAATTATTTTACCTTTATTTTAGGACCAAAGTCTCTTTCGCAAGGGAGCCCTGCATGCACACAATTTACAAAATACAATAAAATACAAATATACATAATTACAAACACATTTAAGAAAAATAATCACATTCCTCAGCAAAGAGGTCCCCAATCAACATTTTGACCAGCCCGTGAGGCACTAGTACATCCAGTTGTACTAAACTGTAGATTGTTCCATAAATGGGGTGCAAATAAACTAAACGCTGATTTACCTAACTCTGAGGAAACCGAATGGATTTCCAGAGTTAGCCATTCCTTAGACAGGGCATGGTAACTCGGACATCTAAAGGTAATTAACGTTGTTCGGTATGGTGTGAGTTTTTGTAAAAGCTTTATAAATAAAAGAGGGCCAGCCTACTTTCTGGTAAAGAATGCAGTGATGTGTATTGCACCTGTTACGAAGATCTTAGCGCTACAAGGTGTTTGAATTGTTTGGAACTGACACGTTTTCATACATTTTAAAACAATTGTTTCACAAAATATCAGTCAACTGGATGTGAAAGAGGTCAGTGACTGTGCCTCAGTTATGTTCCATCCTTGACTTTTGAAGTATTATCATTCATGATTGCATGTGTGTTGTTTTCCTTATCAGAAGAGATTATTTCTTGCCAAGTGTTGTGAATGCCATTAGATAGCAAGGGTTAGGATCTGGGGAAAAGTGAAACACTGCATGGTCTCTCTCTCTCTCCTCTCTCTCTCTCCTCTCTCCTCTCTCCTCTCCTCAATCCTCTCCTCATCTCTCTCTCCTCCTCTCTCGTCCTCTGCTCTCTCTCTCTCCTCTCATCTCTCCACCTCTCGTCTCCCTGTCGTCTCTCTCCATCCGCCCGTCTCTCGTCTCTCTCTCTCTCCTCTCCGTCTCTCTCTCTCGCGCTCCTCTCACACAGCCTTAAATAAATGTAAACATTTAATACTTTTTTATAATTTTTTAAAATGTGGACCTGGATTGCTAACATTGTCACTGTTTTTATAACACATCAGCCCTCTCCATTCTATGCTCTCCTCTCAGGGAGGCATGTGTCGATTGGAGTAAGGGCCAGTGATGTTCCCATCCTTTACCAAAGTGAGGCTACCATTAAGGTATGGTACAGTACCTTTGACATTTGGACAATTAAATATGTCAAAAATGTCAGACTCCAAAGCAACAAAATGTGAAACCTGCACAGGGTTGATACTTTTTCCAAAGCACCCACTGTATTGCTGTGATGGTGATAACATATTTCCCATTCAGGAGTCCCTAGATTTCCTGTCAGTGCAAATTGAATACAACTGCACCTCTAAATCAAACCTGGCAGAGGAGATGAGAAGATTACAGGTAGTCTACTCTTCCATGTTCTGATCAAGTGTGTCTTAATGAAAGGAAGAAGAGAGCCTCCACACAAAAGTGTATTTTATTACTATCTTATCTTACCAACAATTATTAAATGTCTAATTGCCAATATCCTTGTAAGTTATTGTAAACTGTGTGTGTGAAACTCAATGTTTTACCCCAAAATGGAAAACTGAATAATGGGACATTCTGTATGTACAGTTTTAAGGTTGAAGAGGCTGAATACAGAATGTCCTAATATGATTTCTCTAATTTAGATGAAAACACACAACCATCAATCTGCAACTCATAATTGTCTCATAAAAGCCAGCGCCTGAATGACGATCCCTTTGTCATGTTTTAGAAGGCGAATGGGCAGATACCCATTGTGATTTACAAGATGAATATCAAGGGCTGTTCCTTCAGTCAGTTCCAGCCACTCAGTAACATCCTGGAAGGTAAATCATTTGAAGCTGCATAAATGTACACACACATGCTTTGTAGACCATCAGACTAACCACTGGTGTATGATCATACCATTCAACCTCAGCACAATGGTTCAAATTATATTTGTTTACAGACAGTGCACCCATACTCAAGTCTAGTGTCACATTATAGACATCTCTACACTGTCAAATAAACGTGGTGGTGATGACATCTCAAAAACCAGATGGTGGATTCAAATCAAGAGTTATTTGTAGTAGTTACAGTGCCAGAGACCATCATTTTATTGACATTATCTCCACAAAGATTTTATCTAATATAAAACGTCATAGTCCAATTTGATTGTAAAGGCATTATGTAATTCTGATTTGTTGTTATCATGGTCCGGAGTACGCTGCAAAGTGCTTATCTACCTAGTTAAAGGGCAATCTGGTATTCAAACAACAACAAAGTGGTTTTCCCACCACTTCTCTGGTTAACAGCTGATGGATAGGACTGGAGAAATGTAACTACTATGGATGCAAGGATTGACCATCGATGAGATTAAATTATAGTTAAGTTTAATGATTTGAAGTTTAATGTTTTGAAGCTATACAGTGTTCAAACCCTCTACCTCTAGCCAAACTGTCTCAATTACCAACTCACTTAAAAACTGTGAATATATCCCTTATACTTAATGTATCCTTTATGGATTTTGCAAATATGGATAATATAAAATGTAACCCGATGTTCATATCAAATCATTTATGAGTAATTTGAAGAACAACCCCCTGTGTGTGGTCTGAAATCATTACAGTTCTGCAAAATGGGGACCTGCAAATTCAGGGATGTGACATGGTTGACTTGTTTGGGGAGCTGGATTTGGTGGACACTCTGAATAGGTAAAAATACACTTGTTGTTTACATGCACTATTTGGAAATGTAGTAATAGATAAAATAGTCTACTATTAGCATAATTGAATATGAAAAGTCTGAATTAACTTTTGTATTTTTTGTCTTTTAGTGTGTATTCATACCTCTGTATATACAGTATCTACAGTGCCTTCAGAAAGTATTCAAACCCCTTGACTTTTTCCACATTGTGTTGTGTTACAGCCTGAATTTAAAATGTATTAAATTGAGATTTTGTGTCACTGATCTACACACAATACCCCATAATGTCAAAGTGAAAATGCTTACAAATTAATTAAAAATGAAAAGCTGAAATGTCTTGAGTATCCAACCCTTTTATTATGGCAAGTTAAGTTCAGGAGTTCAGGAGTAAAAATTTGCTTAACAAGTCACATAATAAATTGCATGGACTCACTCTGTGTGCAATAATAGTGTTTAACATTATTTTAAAATGAGTCCCCATCTCTGTACCCCACACATACAATTATCTGTAAGGTCCCTCAGTTGAGCAATGAATTTCAAGCACAGATTCAACCACAATGACCAGGGAGGTGTCAAATGGTTAGCAAAGAAGGGCACCTATTGGTAGAATTACACTTTGGACACCCAGTCACTACAAAGATACAGGCACCCTTCCTACCTCAGCTGCCGGAGAGGAAGGAAACCGCTCAGGGATTTCACCATGGGGCCAATGGTGATTTTAAAACAGTTACAGAGTTTAATGGCTGTGATAAAAGATAACTGAGGATGGATCAACAACACTGGAGTTACTCCACAATATTAACATAAATGACAGAGTGAAAGGAAGAAAGCCTGTACAGAATATAAAATATTCCAAAACATGCATCCTGTTTTTAATAAGGCACTAAAGTAATACTGCAAAAAATGTGGCAAAGAAATTAACTTTTTGTCCTGAATACAAAGCGTTATGTTTGGGGCAAATTTCCAAGCATGGTGGTAGCTGCATCATGTTATGGGTATGCTTGTCATCGGCAAGGACTAGGGAGTGTTTTAGGATAAAAAGAAACAGAATAGAGCTAAGCACACGCAAAATCCTAGAGGAAAACTTGGTTCAGTCTGCTTTCCAACAGACTGGGAGACAAATTCACCTTTCAGCAGGACAATTATCTAAAACACAAGGCCAAATATACACTGTAGTTGCTTACCAAGATGACATTGAATGTTCCTGAGTGGCCGAGTTACAGTTTTGACTTAAATTGGCGTGAAAATCTATGGCAAGACTTAAAAATGGCTGTCTAGCAACGGTCGTCAACCAACTTGACAGAGCTTGAAGAATTTTTTGAAATAATAAATGGGCAAATATTGTACAATCCAGGTGTGCAAAGCTCTTAGAGACTTACCCAGAAAGACTCACAGCTGTAATCGCTGCCAAAGGTGATTCTAACATGTATTGACTCAGGGAGTTGAATACTTATCTAATCAAGATATATTAGTATTTTATTTACCACTTTGACATTACAGAGTATTTTGTGTAGATTGTTGGCAAATCCATTTTAATCCCACTTTGTAACACAACAAAATGTGGAAAAAGCCAAGGGGTGTGAATACTTTCTGAAGGGACTGTATTTAACGTTGCCTTTCACCTCTCTTGCTCGGCTAGTCTTTCAGACCACACTGGGGATGCACTGTCAGTAAACTACAAGAGCGTGTGGGATAAGTTTGGAACTCAGACCATTTCCCAGCGGGACATCTTCCTGAATGAGTCTTTTCCTGATGGCTTCCAGTGGGCCACTTCCAGTGAGTCCTTTAAAGTCGAGGGTGGCTGGTCTGAGCATGGGAAGGGTGAGACCATTTGGGACCGCTTTGGCCATGAGCACCAAGCCTTTGAGAATCAGACTGCTGACCTGGCTTGTGACAGTTACCATAAAGTGGACTATGACGTCTACCTCCTGAGAGGTCTCCTTGTCAAAACCTACCAGTTCTCTATCTCCTGGGCCCGCATTTTCCCCTCTGGCCACTGGGGGAGCCACTCTGAGAAAGGCGCGCTTTACTATGACAGCCTGATCAACTCGCTGATAGAGGCGGGTATAGAACCTGCTGTGACGCTGCACCACTGGGATCTTCCCCAGGCACTCCAGGACTATGGAGGCTGGACCAATGTTTCCATTGCAGAAGCCTTTAAAGAATATGCCGACTTCTGCTTCTTCAGGTTTGGAGATAGGGTTAGGACCTGGAACACCTTCAGTAGCCCCTGGGTGATTAGCCATGCTGGGTATGGTACTGGTCAGCATCCCCCTGGAATAAAGAACTATGTGGTTGCCTCCTACCAGGTGAGAGAACTGGCATCACTCCTTCCCCTATAGCCCTTTGTTGACTTTGTTAATTGTAATTATTTCTTGGATGATTTTTATCCTTTTTGTGTCCTCCCCCTTCCCCAAAAGGTGACTCACAACATGCTCAAGTCCCACGCTGAAGCCTGGCATGTTTACAACGACAAGTACCGAAAGGACCAGGGAGGCAAAGTAGGCATTGCCCTGGACTCCATCTGGGCTGAGCCTCCAAGCTCTTCCTCCAAGCCTGAAGACGTAGTGGCTGCAGACCGCTACCTGCAGTTCACGCTGGGATGGTTCGCCCATCCCATTTTTGTGGATGGGGACTATCCGGCCTTGCTGAAGTCTCAGATTGAGCAGAAAAGGCGGGATTGTTCCCTCTCTGTGCCTGCCATACTGCCTTTCTTCACTGCAGCAGAGAGTAAGCGAATTCGCGGAACGGCAGATTTCCTGGGGCTGAACCACTACACCTCTCGTCTGGTCAACGCCAGTGATGGTGGCTGCGTGCCTGGACCAGAGGGTGTGGGAGACTTCAAAGCTCATGTGGACCACGCCTGGCCTTCTACAGCGTCTGACTGGATCCACTCTGCACCCTGGGGCCTCCGTAGGCTGCTCAACTATGTCTCCGCAGAGTATCTGAATGTCACTAAGGTTCCCGTCTATATAACTGGAAATGGGATGCCCACAGGGTATAGCGGGGACACTATCAATGACACAGAGCGTACAGAGTACTTGAGGGGCTACATCAACGAAGCACTGAAAGGTAAGTCTCTGTAACTTGTTAGACCAGGGGTCACCTAGCCCTGTACAGAAGAAGTCTTTTGAGACTGTTTGTAAGAATTACTGATTGTTTATAAGGATTGTTTACCAGGATGACTTTGGTGGTCTTTTAACAGCAATCAATCTGGATGGAGTGGACGTGCAGCGGTTCACTGTGCAGTCACTGATGGACGGTTTTGAGGGGCCAAAGGGCTACAGCCAAAGGTTTGGTTTGCACTATGTCAACTTTGAAGACTCTGACAGGCCCAGAACCCCAAAGCAGTCAGCCTATTTCTACTCTGATGTTATCAAGAGAAATGGGTTTGCTGATACAAGAGAAAGAAGTCCACAACAAGAACCGAAGTTTCAAACCATTATGCGTCAACCCACTTTGCCCCCGTCCGAGGTTCCCTCCAGATCCAAGGTTGTCTGGGAGAAGTTCTCCAGTCAGTCCAATTTCCAGAGGAAGCTCTACCACTACGGCACCTTTCCAAAGGGCTTCCAATGGGGAGTGACATCCTCAGCCTATCAGATAGAAGGTGGCTGGAATGTTGACGGAAAGGGTGCAAGTGTATGGGATACCTTCACCCACAAGCCTGGCAGTATTACCGAAGATGCCAATGGTGACATAGCCTGTGACAGTTACCACCGGCTAGAGGAAGACTTGTACATGCTTAGGGCCCTTAGGGTTAAGTCCTACCTATTCTCCCTGTCCTGGTCCAGGATCTTTCCCGATGGTCGGCGCACTTCCTTGAACCAGAAGGGTGTTAACTACTACAACAGGCTTATTAATGGCCTACTAGCTTATAACATAACCCCCATGGTGACACTCTACCACTGGGACCTCCCCCAGGCCCTGCAGGACCTTGATGGCTGGGACAACATTCAGATGGTTGAGATCTTCAACGACTTCTGTGACTTCTGCTTTTCCACCTTTGGGAAGCAAGTAAAGTTTTGGTTGACCTTCAACCAACCCTATACAATTGCATGGTCAGGATACGGTCTGGGGCAGATCCCACCAAATGTCAGGAAGCCTGGGGATGCACCATATAGAGTCGCTCATAACCTTCTGAAGGCACATGCCACGGTTTACCACACCTATGACAAGAAATACCGCAAATCCCAAGGCGGTCTGGTCTCCATCGCCCTCAACGCAGACTGGGCTGAGCCCAAAGATGTCAACAACCCCCGGGAAGTCATGGCTGCAGACCGTGCCCTGCAGTTTCAGCTTGGCTGGTTCGCTCACCCAATCTTCAAAACCGGTGATTACCCCGATGCCATGAAGTGGCAGGTGGGCAACAAGAGTGAGCTCCAAGGCCTACCAGGTTCCAGGCTCCCCTTGTTCACCAATGATGATAAGGCCTACATCAGAGGTACTGCTGATGTCTTCTGTATAAACACTTATACCACTAAGGTAATACGTCAAGTAACTGCCAGGCTTAGTCCTCAGTCCTATATTGACGACCGGGACATTGGAGAGGAGGAGGAGGGTGATTCCCCCACCACTGCCATCAAAGGGCAGAGGGCTGTAGCATGGGGCTTACGGAGACTCCTCAACTGGATCAAGGAGGAGTATGGAGATCCAGAGATTTATGTCACAGAGAATGGAGTACCTACGGCTCCAAAGACCACGGTGGATGACACTGACAGAATATTCTACTACAAAACCTACATTGATGAGGCTCTGAAAGGTAAGATCTAATGATATATTTCCCTACAAGTTGCTCATTTCACCTTTAAGAGGTGGTGGGAGGAGGGGACTTTGTACTATGTCACTGACTATAATGCCTTCTGATTGCATTGATGAATGAGTATAGACTGAGCAGAATACCAAGGGGAAAGCAAATGCCACTTGCTTTGCTGGGAATTTCCAACCTTTGCTGTAAAAAAAAAAGTAATCTTCCAAAAGTAAATCTTCTCTCATGTCCCCTTAGCCCATGACCTGGATGGTGTGAAGGTGAGGGGTTACAGCGCCTCATCTCTTATGGACTCTTTTGAGTGGCTCAATGGGTACACAGTGGGCTTTGGTCTCCACCATGTGGACTTTACTCACCCAAGCCGACCCAGGACGCCCAAACGTTCAGCCCACTACTACTATCAAGTCATGAGGGACAACGGTTTCCCTCAATCGGAGGATGGTACACCCATTTATGGAAACTTCCGTAAAGATTTCATCTGGAGCACAGCAACAGCATCGTACCAGGTGACTTCTCATTGAAAACTATTCTGAAAAGTAAAGTACCAATAAAAGCACCACAATATGTTTACCTTGTCATTTTATATCTCTTGTCCAGATTGAGGGGGGCTGGAGAGCAGATGGAAAGGGCCTCAGTATCTGGGATAAGTTTGCCCACACTCCTCTTAGAGTGCTCAATGATGACACAGGAGATATTGCCTGTGATAGTTATAATAAGGTGGAGGAGGATGTGGCTATGCTGAGGAGGCTGAAGGTGACCCACTACCGCTTCTCTATATCCTGGTCCAGGGTGCTCCCCGATGGCACCACCAAAAACATCAACGAGGCTGGACTCAACTACTACCATAGACTGGTTGATGCACTTCTCACTGCCAACATCCAGCCTCATGTGAGTTTGGTGGCCATGAAGACATGCTCATGACTGGGATAATGTGTCATTTACTATATCAAAGGGAGTTAATTACACATGCACACAGTTTGAAAAACCTGAATTGACACATTAAACCCTTGAGGTAAATAATCCTTTCCCCTCTTCATGAATGTTCCTCTCTCCAGATTACCCTCTACCACTGGGACCTCCCTCAGGCTCTGCAGGATGTGGGGGGCTGGGAGAATGACAGCATCATTGACCGATTCAGAGAATATGCTGATTTTATCTTCACTCACCTTGGAGACAAAGTGAAGTTCTGGATTACCATCAATGAGCCATACAATGTAGCCAATATTGGCCACGGCTATGGAGCTGCCGCCCCAGGTACTACCTTTACGTCAGACTAAACAAATGTGCATTTGGCTTGTATTTGCCAAACAATTGTTGACTGTTTTCAGTATGTGTTTGTAGTAACAGGTAAAAAATAGTATAGTTGATATGCTAAATAGCTTCTAAATACAGTAGCTTTAAAAAGAGATTCTAAAGCAAAAAAAAAATGTCTATACCCCTTAAAATAACTGTAGAAAGAGATGCTATTTATTTAATAGTGTCTTCAAGAGGCAGTTAAAACAATAACCCTTCTATGGCCAGGCATCAGCTTCAGACCTGGCACACTGCCCTACATCGTGGGCCACAACCTCATCAAAGCCCATGCCGAAGCCTGGCACCTGTACAACGATAACTACCGCACCAAGCAGGGTGGTATTATCTCCATCACAATCAACTCAGACTGGTCAGAGCCACGGAACCCTTACAAGCAGGAGGACGTAGAAGCTGCACGACGCGTTGTTCAGGTACAGTCTAATGCCTCACATTGTATCAGTCAATGCTCTCCACTACATCAGTAAAACGATAGTGGAGTATCCTGTGTAAAACATCATCATGTACGTAGCATGTACAGTGGCTTGCGAAAGTTTTCACCCCCCTTGGCATTTTTCCTATTTTGTTGCCTTACAACCTGGAATTAAAATAGATTTTTGGGGGGTTTGTATAATTTAATTTACACAACATGCCTACCACTTTGAAGATGCAAAATAGTTTTTCTTGTGAAACAAACAAGAAATAAGACAAAAAAACTGAAAAATTGACCGTGCATAACTATTCACCCCCCCAAAGTCAATACTTTGTAGAGCCACCTTTTGCAGCAATTACAGCTGTAAGTCTCTTGGGGTATGTCTCTATAAGCTTGGCACATCTAGCCACTGGGACTTTTGCCCATTCTTCAAGGCAAAACTGCTCCTGCTCCTTCAAGTTGGATGGGTTCCGCTGGTGTACAGCAATCTTTAAGTCATACCTCAGATTCTCAATTGGATTGAGGTCTGAGCTTTGACTAGGCCATTCCAATATATTTAAATGTTTCCCCTTAAACCACTCGAGTGTTGCTTTAGCAGTATGCTTAGGGTCATTCTCCTGCTGGAAGGTGAACTTCCGTCCCAGTCTCAAATCTCTGGAAGACTGAAACAGGTTTCCCTCAAGAATTTCCCTGTATTTAGCGCCATCCATCATTCCTTCAAATCTGACCAATTTCCCAGTCCCTCCCGATGAAAAACATTACATTTACATTTTAGTCATTTAGCAGACGCTCTTATCCAGAGCGACTTACAGGAGCAATTAGGGTTAAGTGCCTTGCTGAAGGGCACATCGACAGATTTTTCACCTAGTCGGCTCGGGGATTAGAACCAGCGACCTTTCGGTTACTGGCACAACGCTCTTACCCACTAAGCTACCTGCCGCCCCACAGCATGATGGTGCCACCACAATGCTACACTGTGGGGATGGTGTTCTCGGGGTGATGAGAGGTGTTGGGTTTGCACCAGACATAGCGTTTTCCTTGATGGCCAAAAAGCTTGATTTTTGTCTCATCTGACCAGAGTACCTTCTTCCATATGTTTAGGGAGTCTCCCACATGGCTTTTGGCGAACACCAATGGCTTTTTTCTGGCCACTCTTCTGTAAAGCCCAGCTCTGTGGAGTGTACGGCTTAAAGTGGTCCTATGTACAGATACTCCAATCTCCGCTGTGGAGCTTTGCAGCTCCTTCAGGGTTATCTTTGGTCTCTTTGTTGCCTCTCTGATTAATGCCCTCCTTGCCTTGCTTGGTGGGCGGCCCTCTCTTCGCAGGTTTGTTGTGGTGCCATATCTTTCAATTTTTTAATAGTGGATTTAATGGTGCTCGGTGGGATGTTCAAAGTTTCTGATATTTTTTAAAAACCCAACCCTGATCTGTATTTCTCCCTGATCCCTGACCTGTTTGGAGAGCTCCTTGATCTTCATGTTGCCGCTTGCTTGGTGGTGCCCCTTGCTTAGTGGTGTTGCAGACTCTGGGGCCTTTCAGAACAGGTGTATATATACTGAGATCATGTGACAGATCATGTGACCCTTAGATTGCACACAGGTGGACTTTATTTAACTAATTATGTGACTTCTGAAGGTAATTGGTTGCACCAGATCTTATTTAGGGGCTTCATAGCAAAGGGGGTGAATACATATGCAAGCACCACTTTTCCGTTATTTATTTTTTAGAATTTTTTGAAACAAGTAATTTTTTTCATTTCACTTCACGAATTTGGACTATTTTGTGTATGTCAATTACATGAAATCCAAATAGAAATCCATTTAAATTACAGATTGTAACGCAACAAAATAGGAAAAACAAAAAGGGGGATGAATACTTTTGCAAGGCACTGTACCACATTTCCTATAATAATTGGCACAGTACACAAAAGGCCTCAATAATGGTCCAAACAAACAACATACTAAAGAGTTACATGAAGAGTGACTACATTACTTTTCTGTAGTTTCCCAGCTTTAACGGCCATGTTCATATTCAGTAACAGCTGTTGCTATTGGTTCCTTTCTCCTTTTGCAGTTCTACATCGGCTGGTTTGCCCACCCTATATTCAATGGAGACTACAGTGATATAATGAAGAAAATCATTCGAGAGAGGAGCCTAGCAGCAGGCCTATCTAAATCACGGTAAGATAAATATTTATTAGCAGCGCTAATTTTAAAAATCCACAGAAGAATTTTAAATTATTCTGAGGGAATGATATGATTCAAACCATGAATAGAAATACATATTTAGTGATTCACAGAAAAAAACAAACGCTCTACAGGCTTCCTGAGTTTTCCCCTGCAGAGATCCAGAGGGTCAAGGGCACTTATGATTACTTTGGGTTCAACCACTACACAACTGTCCTGGCATTCCCTGTTGAGTATGGGAACCTACAGCACTACGATGCAGACAGGTGAGTGGTCAGCCATAAGAGCCTACACTATACAGGACATTATTGAAAATATTTATTCATGGTTATGACAACAACTGAAAGAATAATTGTGTCCTTCAAACTTTGCTTTCGTCAAAGAATCCTCCATTTGCAGCAATTACAGCCTTGCAGACCTTTGGCATTCTAGTTGTCAATTTGTTGAGGTAATCTGAAGAGATTTCACCCCATGCTTCCTGAAGCACCTCCCACAAGTTGGATTGGCTTGATGGGCACTTCTTACGTACCATACGGTCAAGCTGCTCCCACAACAGCTCAATAGGGTTGAGATCCGGTGACTGTGCTGGCCACTCCATTATAGACAGAATACTAGCTGACTGCTTCTTCCCTAAATAGTTATTGCATAGTTTGGAGCTATGCTTTGGGTCATTGTCCTGTTGCAGGAGGAAATTGGCTCCAATCAAGCGCCGTCCACAGGGTATGGCATGGCGTTGCAAAATGGAGTGACAGCCGTCCTTCTTCAATATCCCTTTTACCCTGTACAAATCTCCCACTTTACCACCACCAAAGCACCCCCAGACCATCACATTGCCTCCACCATGCTTGACAGATGGCATCAAGCACTCCACCAGCATCTTTTCATTTGGTCTGCGTCTCACAAATGTTCTTCTTTGTGATCCGAACACCTCAAACTTTGATTTGTCTGTCCATAACACTTTTTCACCAGTTAAGGATCTGTGAGGCGCCTGTTTCTCAAACTAGACACTCTAATGTATTTGTCCTCTTGCTCAGTTGTGCACCGGGGCCTCCCACTCCTCTTTCTATTCTGGTTAGAGCCAGTTTGCGCTGTTCTGTGAAGGGAGTAGTACACAGCGTTGTACGAGATCTTCAGTTTCTTGGCAATTTCTCGCATGGAATAGCCTTTACAAGAATAGACTGACGAGTTTCAGAAGAAAGTTATTTGTTTCTGGCCATTTTGAGCCTGTAATCGAACCCACAATTGCTGATGCTCCAGATACTCAACTAGTCTCAAGAAGGCCAGTTTTATTGCTTCTTTAATCAGCACAACAGTTTTCAGCTGTGCTAACATAATTGTAAAAGGGTTTTCTAATGATCAATTAGCCTTTTCAAATGATAAACTTGGATTAGCAAACACAACGTGCCATTGGAACACAGGACTGATGGTTGCTGATAATGGGCCTCTGTACGCCTATGTAGATATTCCATTAAAAATCAGCCGTTTCCAGCTAAAATAGCCATTTACAACATTAACAATGTCTACACTGTGTTTCTGATCAATTTGATGACCCCAAACTTTTGAACGGTAGTGCAGTTAATGAATGTATTATAGTTCTTCTGTAGGTCCTTGTTTCAAATTGATGTCCTGCTCTGTTTACGAACCCATATTTAATTAAAAGAACAATTACTTATTCTGTCATTTTACTGTGTGTATTAGGGGCGCTGGAACGATTGCTGATCGCACCTGGCTAGACTCTGGCTCCGGCTGGCTGAAGGTTTCTCCATTTGGATTCCGCAAGATCCTCAACTTCATCAAGGAGGAGTACGGCGACCCGCCCATCATCATCACAGAGAATGGGATCTCGGCGCGAGGGCCAGTGGATCTGAACGACGTCCACAGGATTCACTACTATGAGAATTACATCAATCAGGTCCTCAAAGGTTACAAGCCACAATAACAATTCAGTATTTCTGTATTGATAATATGAAATATGATATATCATTTTACAAGTGAAACACCATCTTTAGTGTTTTGGAAACCATTCCCACAACCTAATGAAATGTTCTGGGAACCTTTATAGAACCAATTTTAGTTTTCTGTTTAATCATCATGTTTTCTCCTCTCTTTTCAGCATATTTGCTGGATGGGGTGGATATTCGAGGCTACACAGCCTGGTCTCTAATGGACAATCTAGAGTGGGCCACTGGCTTCTCAGAGAGATTCGGCCTGTTCTATGTGAACCGTTCTGACTCCAAACTTCCACGAGTAGCCAAGAACTCTGTTGCCCGCTATGCCACCATCATCACCTGCAATGGATTCCCTGACCCCACTGTTGGGCCTCACGAGTGTTTGAATCCTGAGCCCGAAGGTAGTGAAAACATTGTCAATCTCAGTGGTTGCAACACTGTTGCACACAGTGCATTTCAGATGGAAAAAACATGTTTCAAGTGATTGATAATTCTGTCTGGTTTACACACATACCATATCACACCTGCAAACCATAAAAGATCACACAATCTTCAAAAAACAGAAAGTGATTGGAAGGGTTTTTATAAACTCCTTAAAGGTTTTTTAAAGAGGATTTTACCCATTTTGAACTTTGCACTGCTTAGGTGCCGTGGTCATTGTAAACAAAAGTAGGTGTCCTAAGATTCATAGATGCATGCACTGATATCAGGGGCGGTAATCGAAAGGTCACTGGTTCAAATACCCGGGCTGACAAGGTGAAAAATAGAGTGTTGGGCCAGTAACCGAAAGGTCACTGGTTCAAACACCCGGGCTGACAAGGTGAAAAATCTGTCAATGTGCCCTTGAGCAAGGCGCCTAACCCGAAATTTGCTCCAGGTGTGCTGTACTACTATGGCTGACCCTGTAAAACAACACCTATCCTGTGTATGTGACAATAAAATATGTATTTGTTTTGCAACAAAAGGACTATCTCCTTAACCGTTTCATGTGTGATGATGCGTTTTCATAAAAGTAATGACACCCTTTTTTGTTTACACATAAACAGTGCAAAGTTCAGAATGGGGAAATGCACTTGATTTTCTGTCTTACCGATACATCTGAACACGTTGTCTGATTAATTTCCATTAATGTATTATCTTACCCCAGGAACGAGTGCACCCTCCACCACCTTGCCTATCTTACCAGTCGAGAACGTGAGCTTCCTGGGTATGGAGCTGTCATCTGGCAATGCTGAGGTAGCCCTCTACAGCGTCTTTGCTCTCGCCATTACGGGTGTCCTCTCAGTTATCGCTGTGACCTATCTGTACCGGAAGTCAGACAGACCCTCTGTGGAATCTGTGAGGATGGAGAGACTCTGAACACATAAACAGAGCTCTAAGGCTCTGCCCCCATCCAATATAAATGTCGCATTGTCTCTGTTTCTAAAATAATATGTCAATACTCTACTTGAAAAGTGCCTGTTTATTTGTGGTATATGAAAATGAGTTGTTGATTATATATCTGATGAATCATTAGTGTCTGCACCAAACAATGACTTAACTTGTTATTTTAAGAAATAAAGGCATAACTTTTGTAGCATTTCCAGTCTATGGTCATTATCATCAGTCGTCCAATAGAGGATGCTGTTGCATCAGATCCTCTGGTCTTTAAGTTAGAATGGGGGTCTACAAGGCAGTCGTTACTCCTTTTAGGTCACAGTGTATACTCGTTTTCATCAACCCAATCAGAAGGCATTCTAGTCAGTAACATTCTACAGTCTCAGGTCCCCCTCCCAACACCAATAAAGGTTGCAATGCAAATAACGTAGTCATTGATGTCTACACAATATCTTTATTAGTCAGGCAACTAAACAGTTAAACAATAATTTAAAGGTGCACTACGCAGAAATCGCTCTGCCATTTCCTGGTTGCTAAAATTCTAATAGTTCGCCTAATTTCAGTTTATGTGACAAAACAAGCAAGTATAGTGTAGAGAATCATTGTACCATCTAAACCGCTGTGAAATAAAATTTCCATAACCACAAATATAGTATTTTCAGCTGTTTGAAGCTGGTGTACATAACCAAAAGTAAAACAAAACTTAAGAACGGAAAGCATAGAAATAGCACACATACAGTGCATTCAGAAAGTATTCACACCCCTTCACTTTTTCCACATTTTGTTACGTTACAGCCTTATTCTAAAATTGATTTAAAAAAAAAAAATCATAAATCTACACACAATACCCCATAATGACAAAACAAAGACAGGTTTTTGAAATGTTTGCTAATGTATAAAACATTTAGACCAGAAATACCTTATTTACATAAGTATTCAGACCCTTTGCTATGAGACTCGAAATTGAGCTCAGGTGCATCTGTTTCCACTGATTTATCCTTGAGATGTTTCTACAACTTGATTGGAGTCCACCTGTGGTAAATTCAATTGATTGGACTTGGAAAGGCACACACCTGTCGATATAAGGTCCCACAGTTAACAGTGCATGTCAAGGTAAAACCAAGCCATGAGGTCGAATGAATTGTCCGCAGAGCTCCAAGACAGGATTCTGGGGAAGGGTACCCAACTATTTCTGCAGCATCGAAGGTCCCCAAGAACACAGTGGCCTCGATAATTCTTAAATAGAAGAAGTTTGGAACCACCAAGACTCTTCCTAGAGCTGGCTGCCCGGCCAAACTGAGCAATCGGTGGAGAAGGGCCTTGGTCAGGGATGTGACCAAGAACCCGATGGTCACTCTGACAGAGCTCCAGAGTTCCTCTGTGGAGAGAGACTTCCAGAAGGACAACAATCTTTGCAGCACTCCACCAATCAGGTCTTTATGGTAGAGTGGCCAGACGGAAGCCAATCCTCAGTAAAAGGCACATGACAGCCTACTTGGAGTTTGCCAAAAGGCACCTAAAGAACTCTCAGACCATGAGAAACAAGATTCCAAGACTGAACTCTTTGGCATGATGCCAAGCGTCACGTCTGGAGGAAATCTGCCACCATCCTTACGGTGAAGCATGGTGGTGGCAGCATCATGCTGTGGGGATGTTTTTCAGTGGCAGGGACTCGGAGACTCAGGATCGAGGTAAAGATGAATGTAGGGAAGTACAAAGAGATCCTTGATATAAACCTGCTCCAGAGCACTCAGGACCTCAGACTGGGGCAAAGGTTCAGCTTCCAACAGGACAACAACACAAAGCACACAGCCAGGACAACGCTGGAGTGACTTCGGGACAAGTCTCTGAATGTCCTTAAGTGGCCCAGCCAGAGCCCGGACTTGAACCCGATCTAACATCTCTGGAGAGACCTGAAAATAGCTGTGCAGCAACACTCCCCATCCAACCTGACAGAGCTTGAGAGGATCTGCAGTGAAGAATGGGAGATACTCCCCAGATAAAGGTGTGCCAAGCTTATAGGGTCATACCCAAGAAGACTTGAGGCTGTAATCGCTGCTAAAGGTGCTTCAACAAAGTACTGAGTAAAGGGTCTGAATACTTATGTAAATGTGATAAATAACCACAATATCTCTGGGAAAGAGTGATAAGCTCTGTTTTTGTGCTATCCATAGGAACAAAAAAATCTGTCAACTAAAGAAATATGTGATCTTATAGTGATATTAAACATTTCCTTACTTGAAAATGGTAAACAAGGTATGCATGATGTAAATAATGATGATTGTAAAACTGAGGGTATTGTCTTGAAATTAGGCGCATTAAAGAAAGCATCTAGAATAATGGATCTATTAAAATAATCTGTAACATTTCATAATACATTTAAATGCTTATAAATGTTTAAATGCTTAAGACATTATTATAATGCTAAAAGTTCTAATTAATTGTATAAATGTTCAAAAATAATGAAATACTTATTTATAAATTATGAATAGTTTGTTAATGTTACCAAAGCGTGACTTTGGACAACCTCAAGTGACTGATGCTATCAAGCTGTACTTGGAATACCCTTGTTTTCCTACCTAAACTGTGTTTATCCCTCCTGTTAATTGGGTTTAGAGGTCCAGTTGTGTACGTGCGCGCATGCATACAGTACAGTGCCTTGCAAAAGTATTCATCCCCCTTGGCATTTTTCCTATTTTGTTGCATTACAACCTGTAATTTAAATTGATTTTTATTTGCATTTCATGTAATGGACATAAACAAAATAGTCCAAATTGGTGAAGTGAAATGAAACAATTCTAAAACATAAATAATGGAAAAATGGTGCGTGCGTATGTATTCACCCCCTTTACTATGAAGCCCCTAAATAAGATCTGGTGCAACCAATTACCTTCAAAAGTCACACAATTAGTTAAATAAAGTCCACCTGTGTGCATTCTAAGTGTCACATGCTAAAATTGGAAAGAAAATGGCACCACAACAAACCTGCCAAGAGAGGGCCGCCCACCAAAACTCACGGACCAAGCAAGGAGGGCATTAATCAGAGAGGCAACAAAGAGACCAAAGATAACCCTGAAGGAGCTGTAAAACTCCACAGCGGAGATTGGAGTATCTGTCCATAGGACCACTTTAAGCCGTACACTCCACAGAGCTGGACTTTATGGAAGAGTGGCCAGAAAAAAGCCATTGCTTAAAGAAAAAAAAGAAGCAAACACGTTTGGTGTTTGCCAAAGGGCATGTGAGAGACTCTCCAAACATATGGAAGAAGGTACTCTGGTCAGATTAGACTAAAATTGAGCTTTTTGGCCATCAAGGAAAACGCTATGTCTGGCGCAAACCCAACACCTCTCATCACCCCGAGAACACCATACCCACAGTGAAGCATGGTGGTGGCAGCATCATGCTGTGGGGATGTTTTTCATTGGCAGGGACTGGGAAACTGGTCAGAATTGAAGGAATGATGGATGGCGCTAAATACAGGGAAATTCTTGAGGGAAACCTGTTTCAGTCTTCCAGAGATTTGAGACTGGGACGGAAGTTCACCTTCCAGCAGGTGAATGACCCTAAGCATACTGCTAAAGCAACACTCGAGTGGTTTAAGGGGAAACATTTAAATGTCTTGGAATGGCCTAGTCAAAGCCCAGACCTCAATCCAATTGAGAATCTGTGGTATGACTTAAAGATGGCTGTACACCAGCGGAACCCATCCAACTTGAAGGAGCTGGAGCAGTTTTGACATACCCCAAGAGACTTGCAGCTGTAATTGATGCAAAAGGTGGCTCTACAAGGTATTGACTTTGGTGGGGTGAATAGTTATGCACAGTGAGGTTTTCTGTTTTTTTGTCTTATTTCTTGTTTCTTTCACAAAAAAAACATTTTGCATCTTCAAAGTGGTAGGCATGTTGTGTAAATCAAATGATATCAGGTTGTAAGGCAACAAAATAGGAAAAATGCCAAATGGGTTGAATACTTTCGCTTGCCACTGTACGTGTGTTTACAATGTAGTAGTGCTTCAAGTCTATTATTTTGACTTCTGCAAATGTTATGGGCAGTAATATTTGACATGTGTATATACAGTATGTGATATTATAAATACCTCACATGTGACTCGTAATAAGATAAGTAATTAGCCTAATAAAAAGTGTATCTGACGCCATAAAGGTGATTTAGTAATATGCAAGAACACTATAGTTGAGTTACAGTAATAGGCAAACAATAAATATCTGAGAATGGAATTGTAAATAGAAGTGTATTTAATTACTTTGTAAAATGAATGGATTCACATACAAGACATAAAGCTTAAGTTTCAAGGCAATAATGATGTTGAACAAGCTTATTCTAACGAACAACACCTAAATACAAGAGAATTAACATAGCAACGGAACAGTAAAGCAGACAAGAATCAAAATAGTTCAGGGCAGTAGTGGGAGACAGTGCAGTTATTCTAAGCATGATCAGAGAGAGAAAGAGAGAAATCATGCCTGAAAGGCCATGCCCCAAAAGTTCAGGGGGTAGAGAGAAAGAAAGAGAGAGACTATCTCACCACAGCAGTTCAGGAAGAAAAAAAGAGAAAGAACAATGAATCCAATACCCTTTTATAAGCATCTGGGTTTTTTGGTTTCAAAATCTGAGTTGTTGACCAATAGTATTACTGTAAAGTTAACCTCCAATCAGATAGAGTTACATTATGTCACTCATGTAACTGGCTCCTGAGTGGCGCAGCGGTCTAAGGCACTGCATCTCAATGCTAGAGGCGTCACTACAGATCCTGGTTCGATTCCAGGCTGTATCCCAATCCGGACGTGATTGGGAGTCCCGTATTGCGGCACACAATTGGCCCAGCGTCGTCCGGGTTAGGCAGTCATTGTAAATAATAATTTGTTCTTAACTAACTTCCCTAGTTAAATAAAGGTTTTAAAAAAAGAAGGAAACTGCTTCTCAGAGGTGAGACAATAGGGGTTGGTGAAAATCCACACAGAGAATGCTGAATTCCTAAGTCAACACAGAGTAAATTCTTGTATACAGTTGATAAGAAGAGTTACTTCATGGTCTGCCCTGCACAAAGATATTTCCTTGTGAGGCCCTTCTGTGTGATCCCTATGACTATCAGAGAGACTCAAGGTTGTAACCATCATTACAAGCACCATAAACCATTGCATCAGTGGAGGACTGCTACATGTAATGATTATGTAGCGGTCCGTG